AGAAAGTGACCTCCAACCTGAACAACACTCCTGCTCCTGGATCAACCTTTCTCAGTTTACTGCAAGACCTGGAAGGAGAGCTTTACTGGAAAAAAATTCTAAACATGAACACAAAGCTGAGAAACAAGAAAGCAATTTTTAAGCAGCAGCATCTGCCTCTGAATGACTGCAGTTTTTCAAGTACTGAGAACCGGTGCTGACATCAGTGAATCTTTTTTTTTTTTTTTTTTTTTTTTTTTTTTTTTTTTTGCATTTTCTACATAGGAATTTCTAGTTAAAACAATAAAGAGGTGGAAGTGAAAGTGTTACAGAGTTGCACCAAAGAAGGGAGGTCGAGGGGAGGGGAAAGAGGGGGTTAAAACCCACAAAACAAATCGGCAAATGTATCATTCAAATAAAAGGCGCAACAATTACAGAGAAACTTTAAAGCAACTTACCTCGAGGGAGGGAGATCAAAGCGCGGCTTTCAGTCGGAGCTTGCTCTGGCCCTTCAGGCCCCGGAGGAAGAGGTTCTCTCACTTGGGACATCTGCCAGCTCTCTCACCCAGTAATACAGAGCCTGCACCCCCCTCCAACAAAACTAACACGCGACCCTGAAGGAACAAGCAAATGAAAGGGCTCGTTAATGTATTTTATGCGGAAAACTCACGGCTCGGGGGCGAGGGACCGAGGAGGGACGGCAACGAAGCGGCGGCAACTTCGCGGCGCGGCGGCGGGCGCGCTGCCCGCCCCCCACGGCGAGCACCCGCGGGGCCGGGGGGCGGCGGCCGCGGGGCGGGGGCGGCCGCGGGCCGGGCGGCCGCGGGGGGACCGGGGGGTGTGCGGGGGTGTGGGGAGGGGGGGGCCCGCCCGCCGAGGGGGAGCCGGCCGGCAGCGCCCTACCTCCGCATTTCCTCCCGCTCCGCGCCCCGGCCGCGGGAGCCTCCGCGCCGCCGCCTCGCCGTTTCTCCCCCCGCCGGCGGCCGCCGCCTCCTCTCCCGCTGCCCGCGGGGCCTTCCCCCCCCCCCCCCCCCCCCCCCCCCACCCCTTCCCGCCGCCTCCCCCGGGCAGGGGCGCGCACACACTGGCACTCACGCCCGCTGTCCCCCCGCCGCCGCCGCCACAGTCACTCCTTCTCCATCATTTCCGGACAATGAAACATCCCGCTCCGGCTGGCGGCGGCCGCGGGTCGGGGCGGTGGTTTGTGCAGGTCCCGCCGCCTTCCAGCGACCGGCCCGCGGGCTGGGCCGGGCCGGGCCGGGCCGGGCCGGGCCGGGCCGGGGCGCCTCGCTGCCCCGCGCCGGGCCTCCAGCCACCGAAATTCCCCCCAGGAGGCCAAAACGCGTCAAGCAGAAATAAGAAGTGAAAAAAAAAAAAAAAAAAAAAAAAAAAGCTGAAAGGCAGGCTTTCATGCCTGGACAGGATTTGCAGCTGTAGCGCTTGGCAGCGGTGCGGGGGCACTTTTAATGGTGCAGGCGCTGGCTCAGAAGTTGGCCGCGGCGGTCCCCGTTCGCCTTCAACCAGTTGCGCCTCAGCAGCGGGGTGTGGGGGCACGTGAAGCGCCCCAGGCCCCCGCGCCCGTCCCGCCGGGCTTCCACCCCGCTCGGGGAGATCCGTTCTAACGCAACCCAACCCTCCCGGGTACCTTAACAGGTAACCTACAGACAGGTGTGTAGAAAGGGCTTTAAAGCGGGCGTACAAAGGTACTCAAAGGAACACGAAGGACAGAACAAGCGATTTTCAAAAGTAAAACCCTAGAGTGCCAACGTCTTCCTCCACCCTCCTCTCCCAGCTGGTGTTACCTGTGCGTTCTCTAGATGGGAAATACATCTCTTTCCCATGGCACAGACCGATTTGATCGTCGGCCTCATGCGCTGTTCTTGCCCACATCATGGCGTGCTGCGGTTATCACTCCTGTGTGTGCCGGTGTCCATAAGCTACGTGCTCTACTTTACATACGCTACCACAGTATATCACCTTTCTCTATCAAAGTCTGTCCATGTTTAAACTGTAATTTTCTTAAAACTTACAACCAGACTTTTTATTATGGTTTAGTAAATGCACTCTACTAGTATGTCTCATTACAGCGTACAGCTAGGTATTTGGGGGGAAACAAAATTAGGCAGACAAAACAGCCAAGTTAGAGACTACATCCTAACATAAGAGACTATAACTGATGGTTATTTATTTCGATATCATAAGTGCTATGTTCGGGTACTTAAAAGTTCGCTTCTTAATGTTTAGCATTTCCCTGCAGTGCTTGCAAACCAACCAGGATAGAGTGTAAGTACCTGAGTAGGAGCCAGTTCTGCGTGAGACCACACACTTCAGGGCCTCCTCTTATTTCAGAAGTCATCAGTAATTTTGCACCACTGCATAGCTTTATTATTGGTCATTACTGGTGCAAAAGAGAATAGTGTGATGAAAGACGCTTATACTTTCATCTGAGAAATGCAATAATTTTTAAGTATTTCAGTACCTAAGATGTTCTTTGGTACAACATAATCTTTCATGGTAAAATAGAAAAATAAATGGTTTATGTGGGGATCAAGCTCTGTAAAAAATCCATTTTGGGCACACAAAATTATTATCATACTGCATAATAATAATATTGGTTTCAATATCTACACTTTTCATCTACAAAAACATTGCATAACTTTCCATAGTTCCTTCTCTCCTTGCTGTCCTGGGGGCAGAGCAATTGAGACATAAGGTAGGATGAGACTTACCTCAAACTCCCAAGTGAGTCAGTAGCAGAAGAGAGGTTATGACTCATACTCAACATACAAACTTGTGTTTTTCCCTCTGAAACTGGAAACAGCAGAGAACAGTGGGAGGAGCAATAATTTAGCTAACCACACCCTGCCTTCAAAATATTTAATTGGATAATAAATGCCTGTGAGGATCTAGATACCATCCAGGGTTGGTGTGTGTTTTTTTTTTTTTTAAAAAAAAAAAAAAAACCTTATCTATGAAACCCATATGGTAAACTCCATGGAGTTCAGTTTATCTTCTTTAAAAAGATGATGGGATGAGCTCGCCCTGCCAAGGTTCAACTGTGTAGCAGCCTACAGAGTTTAAAGCAACTAAGTGAATGGAAGAGGATCTTCAGCTGATATTGCAACTGATGCAGTGGGAGATAACCCTAAGCAAAATCAGAATAAAAAAAAAGATAAGGGAATTCAATATACAAAAGGCACAATTCACTGAAATAGCACATTAAAAATACTGTGCAATACATAATACATTACATACCAAAGATTGTGATGGTTTTAAAAAGATGGGTCTAGATGTGGTGACTGTTAATGAGATACCACAGATAGGCAAGTTCATTGACATAAGCCAATGATACAGCACTTCCTGACAGTACAATAAAGTTCTAACAAATACACAGCTAATCTAAAACAATTTTTGTATTACTTTCTTTTAAAATATGTATCATTCTAAAATGTTATTGAAAATTCTTGGGAAGTGGGCAGTTCTGACTAACAACAGCAGCCTTTCAAGTAGGCTACAAATAAGAGATATGCTTTATTTTGCTAGAGCAACCAAGTTATAGGCTGTTGCACATATGTACTCCAATATACTCTTCCATTGCTAGATCATAAAATTCAGGTATGGTCTTCTAGACAACTAATGACAGATTTTGGGATGGATGTGAAGAGAAGCTCGAAACACTTGTAAATAGGCAGTAAGTGTAGTCTGTAGGCAGGTAAAAATTTTCTGAAAAGAAAAAAAGAAGAAAACCAAAACTACAAGTTTTTTTCCCTGTTAAAAAAATTCTGTAAACCAGATTCCTACTGTAAGTGCACAAAATGCAGAATATAATCGTATGTCTTCAGGACAAAATTGGTCGTGATCATTTTCCAGTCTGAGCTCCTACACAAACCATATGATATATATTACCTTCAGCTAAAATAGACTTGTCACTGAACAAAAGTGTTTTAGAAAGACAGAAGTTGTTTATTTAAAGTAAACCCACAATATCCTGAAATTAACTGCTGCAAAGGTTGTTTACTTATATTATTTAAAACTTGAGCTATATTTCTAGCTTCAATTTTCCAAGGCAAATTTTAGTCCTTGAGGTTTTTTTGGATATAAGTTAATTTCTTGTGGAGGAGATTTTGGAGAGCAGAGTTGCTCATATAAACAATGCTGTAGAAAGCTTGTGCATAACTCTTCAAAAAAAAAAAAACATTATTAAAAATATTACTGCTTACATAGTGAAGAAAAGTGATAAATAGCTATTACTTATGGATCAACACAAGGTGTAGGTACCCAAATTTTCTCCCCATCTTAACACCTACCTTTCCATCCTCAGGGCTGCTTTTTAACTCATGCTGACTTCCTTCCATCAGTAGGAACAGAGGGTACTGAAGATATTTTACCTCATTCTCAACATTCTGGATCACTTAATGGTTCTGAAAGATGGACAAAAATATTTAGTAAATCCTTTTGTGATTAGTTTCTTGTACCTTAGTACCTGTGAGTTCAAGCTATCCCTCTGCTTTGTCTAAGAACATGATTTTCAACTTTGTAATATGCATTTTTAACATGTCTATTACTCTCAACTTCATGGCTCTTTTCAGTATCAGGATCATGGCAAGATATCTGTCCTAAAAATTTTATAGTGTGGCAAAGGTGAAATGAGAAGACTGTAATAGTTAAAAGTGCTAAATAAAAGATTTGTTAAAAGCAAATTATATTATAAATAACAATATTACAAGTGAAGCTTACAAACTGTTTGTTTGTGGGTTTTTTGTTTTTGTTTTTGTTTTGTTTTGTTTTTTTAATTTAGATCAGAAGCAGAAATATATACAGTATACACATAAAAACACAGTAAAATGGAATTTGAAGGTAACTACCATGTGACATTTCAAAGTTTGGAGTACTTTTTGTTGCTGGTGTTCATGGCCTAGCTTGTATATTACCCTTCTCCAAAAAATCCTGTTTAAGGACATGGAAATTGTCAGGTGGCAGAACAGAGCTGGATGCTGCTGTGTTGTAGATTAGGATTTGTACTCTTTTTAAATCATCACCGCCAAAGTGCTGTGGGATTGATGGTGCCTTAGACACCAGCTGATCCTAACAGGACAACCAACTCCCTCTAGCCCAAGGAAATCTACCTCCAATGACCACAAACATAGAAACAAATAAACAGTAGGATTCCTGAAAGGAAATTGGAGACATGCAGATTTAACTCCTTCCATAACCAGAAATGGAATAAAGAAATGCATTCCCTTTTAGAGAAACAATTTGTTCCAGTAATGCTGTACATTGCAAGCAGAAGTCTTTCTACTGTAAATGATTCTTGTCCAGGTTTGATGTTTTTCTGCTACAGGATGGACTCCACAGTAGGGAGAAGTGGAACATGAGGCTTAATGACTGCTATGTGCTGGCTCAAGCTGTCAATTGAGAATTAAACTCAGTGTAAACAAGAATTTAAAATATGAAAAGGTATTTCTTTCCATTTTATTTTTCTGTTTATAGTAGGTATAATAGTATATGAAACATTTTGTTTCTGTAAAGTATTTTCTAACACCGATCGCAAAGATTTCATTAAAATTGATAAATGATGAAGTAAAACAAAATAAAGCATTCTCAGATGAATTATTGGTGATGTAACTCCAATGAAGTCCAAGGAGTTGCATGAAGATGAATTCAGCTCAACAAGCTTTATCCTACTTAGGGCAAAACACATCACATGTCATGGTTTATGGTAGTTTCAGCTATTCCTTAGCAAGCTCAAGCAAGTAGCTCACTCAAGCAGGTAATAGATCTCACATGAAAAAGTAACAGATCATATATTGAGGCATGCAAAATGACGTTTCATCACAACAAAATGTCAACTAGTAATTCATTACATTCCTACAAATAAGTCAAGAAGAAATATTCAGTATTCAACTACAACTAAGTGTGCTGGATTGCAACAGTTAATTTATTTGCACATATTCCCTTCAGTTATTCTGCTTTTCACTTTGCAGTTAGTATTGCACCTTAATAAAACACTTATTTAGGACTTCAGAAGAAATTTGAAATTCAGCAAAAATGAATGTTTCAAACTCTGTAGTTAATGCATTCAAGATTATTTGAACCTTTTCTTGGCATTAATGATCATCTCAGCAAAGATAAATGATGGACAACAGCATCTTTTGAGTTAACGGGATCGGAAATTTAATATTGTTTAGAAAGTGTGGCTAACTGAATACAGAATATTGTAACATGAACTATATCGAGACTTAACAAATTTAAAATAACTTAATGAATTTACCTGAATAATTTAGTCATAATAATCCTAGAGCCTGTATTTATAGCAAGCAAAAAAGCCTAAGACAAATATTTCTGTATCTTTTCAGGTTAACAAGGCTCCTTTTGCTTCTGCAACCTGAGCATTATCTGGATCTGGCATTATTCTACATTAGTATTTTACACACATTCCTCACAATTGTGAGTATTCATGAAATTTACATTACTTTTTCTCAGCAGTATCAAACTAATTGCCAATATCAAATGATGTTTGCAAAAATACCTTTTCTAGAATTCCACAAAAGTAAAAATATTTCCACATGAATATTTCCATATGAATACCTAGTCAATCCCCCCCCCCCCCCAAAAAAAAAAAAAAGTTAAAATGAAAAATACTAAAACAATCATATTTTACAAATAGAATAAATAATGCAGTGGAACAGAAGACTGTGTGTTATATTGCTGTGTGAGATACATCCAGTGATCTATAAAAATGTAGTTAATTTTGTGCATCTTCAACAGAAGTTCATAATACACAGTACAGTTGCTCCCTTTGAGCTGCCAGAGAGTACACTGTGAATGAGTATAAAAAATATTTTGCTTTCTATCTTATATTTTCATAATATAGAATGCTCTTACTTACATATTGTGTATTATTACTAATACATATTCAGAGGATATATTGTAACAGCTCCATTGGAATCACTAACATGTATGCTGTGAACGTGTATTAACAACAGAATGCATTTGCATATTATGAGTCCATAATACTGAATAGACAATCAAATCTTTGATGAAAAGTCATTGCTATACATACAAGCAGAAGTTATTTTCTTATGCTCATCACTCACAACTGTGCTGTCTTGCACAGGCATTTCTCACCCATATTTTACAACTCACAAAGAAAAAAAAAATCCAGTACTGAAACAATTCTGTGAATTATAGCTTTCTTGAAGTAAAATATTTAATGAGGTCTTTTTTTTCCTCTCTTTATTCTGTCTCATAATCAATATTTTCTTTAGTTGCTTGAATATATCCTCCTGGTTTTTCATTTTGGCATCCATATAAATGACTGGACTCAAATGCTCATTCGGATAGTACACCTAAAATACAGATCATAGGAGAAACAAACAAAAAAGTAAACCTCACTCAGTTCTACTAGTATCTTTAACTATCATGATTTTGTTTGTTTGTATATTTGCTTAAAATAATGAGGGGGTTGCCAGCGAGGAGCATACAATTCTCTAGATTGGAGAGCACTAAAATTACAAAATAATATTACAAAATAGTGTGATTACAAAACTTCATTTGGATCAAAAAGTTATTGTTTTCCTACATTGACAGATGAGCATCCTGGCAACCCATGCAAGTAAAGATGGGAAAAGGCACCCTTACTTGTCTAAAACAGTGAATTAAAAAAAAAAAAAATCTTCTGCCTCAGTTTCTTGCTTAGCTAAATTAAAGTAATGCAAATCTTGGGTCCAGGTCTGACATAATTCTATATCTGTGATCCTGGGATGGGGATTTTCCCCAGGAAGCAAAAGAAAATCTTAGGATAACTTGGGTTTTGCTCAGTTCCCTTCCTCATCATATAGACTTGCTGAAATAACTAGAAAGACACAAGAGGAAATTACATATACCATTTCAAGGACTGCATAGAGACCATGCTGACTATTAGTTTTAAAATACTTTCAGTTGTATAATTTTAATAAGCAGTACCGAGAGGGATTTTATATTTCTGGTATCACCACAGAGACATTAACTCCAAAAAGCAGATAAGTACTTTGGCAATTAATGGTAAGTATAAACTACCAGACATACAATAACCAAATATTTATGCATGACTATAATAATATCTCAGCTAAAATATTAATAAAATCAGAAAACACAAATTAGATTGAAAGGGTCCCCGCATATAGCTGGTACTTTTGGATCACATATATGGTGTTGCAGTACTGCCCACTGAATGATGGACACAATGATATTCTCCATTAACAAGTGTAATATCTGCCACATATCAGAGAAAGAGAGTGTGTATGTGGACATAAAATCACTGGAATTTTAATGTTTTCCCTTTAAAAGAAATGGTTACATTTTAGTTTAGTGAGGAAGCCTATTACATTGTACAAATTCCTTCATTTCTCTTTTCATTTTTCTGTGGTTTATTTCAAACATTTTAAAGTATTAATGAAAATGCTATAAAAGTCATAATGTTAAAGTATAATTTTGTTTAACATTGTTTTACATTATAAGAGCTATAAACAGGCTCTTGTAAACTTACAAAAGTAGTTATTTTGAGGTCTGAGCTGTTTTTTTTTATGTTATGACTGTAAATAAAAGTAAGATTGTTTGTACTCAATTGTATTCAATTATTTTATAATTCTAACATGCTAGTTCTCTCAGAGATTTTTTCAAGATATAAATGCCAGAATTCTGTAAATTACCTTGATCATCAGTGGTCAACAAAAACAAGTTAAATACTCCTCTGTGGTTTTCCAAATTGAGCTTTACATCTTCTCAATAAATTATTTGGATTTTCAAGTAAATACACTTTATTATAATATAAGTAAAATTCTGATAATCATAATCTACGGCCAAGTAAAATGTAAACTATTGTGGCATGGGTGCTTTCACTGTAGATCTCTGACATTACAGTCCTGGATCTCTGACCTGTTCCTGATTTTTGCCCAATTTTATTATATTAGTAAAATATAATTCTTTAAAAGTCAGACTTTTAAATGTAATAGTGGTAAACCAATCCTGAGCTTGATCCAATACTCTTCAAAGTATTTCAAGCACACTTTTATTGTGGGCTTCAAGAAGGTTTTACACCTGGCTTTTAGGGTAAAAGGTATATTTTTAATTAGTTTACACCATAATTTAGGAGTTGTCCTGGTTTCGGCTGGGATAGAGACAATTTTTCTTCCTAGTAGCCAGAATACTGCTGTGTTTTGGATTCAGTTTGGGATTTGGTATGAGAAAAATGTTGATAATATACTGCTGGTTTTAGTTGTTGGTAAGAGATCAAGGACTTTTCAACTTACCATGTCCTGCTAGTGTGCAGGTGCACAAAAAACTGGGAGGGAGCACGTCCAGAGCAATGGACCCAAATTGGCCAGTGGAATATTTCCTATCATACAATATCATGCGCTGTATATAGAAAGGGGTTGGCTGGAAAGCTATGGGGGTCTTCTTCCAGGACTGAGATTTCAGGATTTTCTCTCCTCCAAGATCACTAACCAGGAATGGGCTGGACATTGGTCGGCAGGTGGTGAACAATTGCATTGTGCATCACTTGTTTGCATATATAATAATAATAATTATGATTATTATTACTATTATTATTGATGTTGTTTTAATTATTATTTTTATTTTATTTTATTTCATTTTAATAATTGAATCAAGGGAGTAGCACAAATGTTACTGCCATTTTTTCTCATGTATTTGTCACTTGCAATGGATACAGGAGGCATCCCAGACTGCTCCATGTTTTCCCCACCACAGGACCAGTCTGTTCTGAGGATGAAATGGGAGAGCTCCTTCTATAATCACCCCACACTCTCAGCCCAAAATAATAAATACTTCTCACCAGAACTGTATCTTGCCTCTTCATATTAACATTTGTGGGTTATTCTGAAAAAGAATCATATAAAATTTAGTAAAGGGTTATTGAAATGGTCTCTCAAAACACCGTAGTATCACCAAGGTATTATTTTCTTCAGGAAAAAAGTACAATTTACATCTGGAAATTTATGTGAAGGAGCACTCATAGCCTATATTCAATAAGTATCTTCTTATGCCTGCCATTGTAATGGGATCAAATATGCTATGAAATAAAAAAAAAAAAAAAAAAAGTGAGAACATGAAAATTAGGCAAGTCATGATGTAAAATCTTGGTGTCATATATGAAGAATTAGTACAAAAAACCTAAATCTTCAGAAACATCTATGTTATCAGCCATTGAATTTTCTTTTCATAAAACTGTACCTGGAAAAGGTAAAACACGACAGTAAGCAGGAGCACAAAGGTATGCTATTTTTTCCTATTTAATACCAAAATAGAACTCTCCCTTATGGCATCCACAGCTTCTAATATCTTGTCACACTTTAAATTCTTCTGCTTTATGAGATTCGTTATGGAATAAGAAGTGGTGAATAGCACCAACAAGCTCCCGTGACAAAAGAGACAGTATAATAGTTTTTAAAATAAAGTAGAAGATATTTGATCTCTTTTTCTCAATGTAAATGTGTGTACTTGGGAACAATGGGGTGACTGACCTCACAGTAATGAAAACAAAATCAGAATCTTGACCTATCTTTAAAATACTGCATTAATTCGCTCTGCAGTTTGCAGGGAAATACACAATTTCTGAATCTGGTAGAATAAAGAGAAGGTTTTATGAATACACAACAGATTTCTGTGCATATACATTAATGTTTGTCAAATTATCTGTCTAGACACCCATAGTTAACTACACTCACAACATACATGCTTGAAGGATATGCTACAGTAGACCATGAGATTATACATTTATCCTAATTTGTGAAGGTGGATGCCTAGAACTCATGGATGGAAAAAGATATGTTATGAAGTATTTAATCCTAATCAAAGTTTATTAAAGAAGACAAAGTAACAGTAAGGCAAACCTACAGTATTTTAGAAAAAAAAAAAAAAATCCCACAAGCTGGATTTCTTATCTTGCAATACTTAGTGAAGTTTTATGATTTATTTTAACCCTGAAGTGGGTTTTAAAAATCCCTAATTATATTAATGTACTAAAAGAAATACAATTGTCACTTAGTTTCATTAAGCATGACAGGTGACAGTTCCAAAGATAAATGCTGAAACTTGTGAAAATTGCAAGTTCAGGTTGAAGTGACAATAATATGATAGCAATGGGATGGAATTGTGCTGCTCACTGCATTAATCAATACTACAATTTATTTTTTAATATATGAAGAATGTTTAATTTCATTAATTTATGACTAGGTTCTTTCTACTTAAGTCTTCATTTTGGTCTTTGGATTTTTGGTTTCATTTTAAAACATTCTAGCTATTTATAAATCCATGGTCAATCTCATAAAATATCACTGTTGGGAAATAAACAGTTTTCTGCATGCCATGTGCAATCTGGGAGATGGATAATGTAACTAAATCAGTTAAAAGGGACATGGCTCTATTAAGACTGGAAAAGTTTTACTATTGTCACCTGTGCTATACTCTGTGCAAAATCAGAAGATTTAAATTTGTTCAGTTTATGATATCTCACTTATATTTGCAAACCACAGGATACACCTGCAAACCCCTAGCAAAACCTAGCTTTTTCATTTCCAGTTGTGGGTACATACACTACTGCACCAAGTGTTATATTTAGATCAACAGAGCCTGTATCATAGTGTCACAGATCTGAAGCTCTTGAACTGGGACTGAGAGGATCCTACCATAAAATATTTTCATTACAACTTTATGATTCAAAACACAAACACACACACACACTCCATGCTGCCATGCACAGACGGGATTTACTTTATGTTGTACTTCGTGATAGCCCACATAGTTGAGTTTTAGTACTTTGGGATAAGCGAGCAGTTAAAAACTTTAATTTCTAGCACAGTTAATCAACAGCAGTAAGGTGTGTGCACAGTAGATGTTTATGAACAGCTATCAGCAAGAATGCTTACAGCACCTAGAATAAGCAAATATCTGGACTATTTTCTTTAAGTATGGATAACTAACATATAGATGGTAATTGATATATAAATTTAAACTTCAGAAATTACAGTAATGAAACAATTTAAGCAATCTCCTTCACAGTACTATAAAATCAATATATGAAGGGTTTCTGGGGTAAACCTTTAGCTCTGGTTTGGAATACAAAACCCTTTCCAAGTAAAAATAGAGGCAATACCGAGTGTCAGACAGTACTGAGAACTACCACTGTCAACAGGTCTAAGACACCATTAGGTCTTTGACACCATTAGGGACAAGAAATAGTGTAAACATGTTGAATGTAAATAAATATATTAAGTCAAGTGTAAATGAGGATGAACCTGTTTGTAGCTTTCTCTGCTAATATCACTTATTTCTGCTCTCTGCATGTTGTATAAGCTTTAAGTTATGGACTTGCAACTTATATTGCTCTTTACATCTCCTGTATATCTGGCTCATTATTCTCATGACCTACCAAAATTCACATATAAATGGGTAATGTCTCTTAAACTTATTAATTCGGTTTGATTAAGAGACAATGTTCATAGTGGAGGAGTATATGAGGCAATTTATGGCTTTTGAGGGTGATTAAATGCTGAAGTGGAGCTGAGACAGTTGATAATCACAAGAGCTATTTATTGCTGGAATATTCCAGCCACATGAATGTTCTCCCATCAACCAGTAAGAGAAGCACATTTAACAAACAACATGAAAAAGAGATTTTTCTAGGTAAACGAAGGTAACTCTGCTCGTGTTCTGTGAAGGGCAGGTATAGGTAAAGCATATATAGAATTCGGAAGGAATATGTTCATCTCCTAAGAGCAGAGTTAAGGACAAATAATTGCAAGAGGGAGTTACCTGTGTAGAAACTGAGGGCTCAGACTGAAGTGTGAACATGAGTGATTTGAGTTAGGATTTATGACTCATTTTCATATTGCTACTGTAAATGAGTAACAATTATCATCTGCCAAACTGGCCTGTTTGCACACGTTGGAAATAAGTCCAGAGTGGTTGCAATTCTCCGGTCTCATGGGAACAGGCCTGTTTCATTTATACTTCCAGAAATATAAATGAAGTAAGGAATGATGCCTTAGCAAGAGGCTGCTACAGAATTATGAGAAAGGAGGTTCTGGTGGAAAAACCCTCATACAAGCTTAGAGAGGAAGTTGGAGTTGTGGATTTGGGGGATTTTTTTGATTCTTTTTTTTTTAGTTAATGCCATGAATCCCAAGTAAAAGGGCAATGCAGGGATACTACTTCATATTTTTTTAGACAGTGAATACCAACAGACTCAAATCATATACAGATCCCATCTAGTAGTCTGCTATACACAAAATAGCCATGTTTGGTTATTTTATTTTTTACACTTGTATTTGTGTAGAAATGAGGTAGCATTTTCTGCAGCTGAACTACTAAAACCAGGAACATTAGGCTGTAACCTGGTGACTTCCAGAACCGGGGAAACCAATCTGTCTATGTCTGGTGACATTTCTGATCATCATTCTCCTTTGTCTTATTCCTCTGAACTTATATGCATCAGTCTAAAGCTGTATAAACTTCAACCCTCTTTTCATTTAGTGGAAATTAAGAAGGAAGGTGGAAGGAAGATGCTGAAGTGTTGGGCATGCAGGTTTGGAGAGTCTGTCCAAGCAGACTACACAGAAAGCAGGTAACTTTGCTTCCACTGGCAAGCTGGTGCTTCCTTAACTGTTAGTTGGAAAAGAAATACAGCATGTTTGTCCTTCTCACTGACTGTTATGAAGAAAAAGGAAAGAAGGCCTCACTTGCCCCAGCAGTTTTCTGTCTTCATCTTTCCAATGTTGCCACTTCATATCCACTAACAATGATTCACAGAGATAAAAGTCTGAATTGGTGAACATACCTAATAGTTATTTCTAACAGCATCCTAACAAGGGCAGGAGATGGACTGTTACTGCACAGTGAAATACATGAGTATTTTTATTTACAGTTGCTAGATCTCTAATTTCAATGTCTAGTTTCTTTTCTCTAGATAATTTCAGAAGGGAGGTAGGAAGAGCAAGGAACACAGCATTGCAGGGAGGCATTGATTTTTACTCCCCTTTGCTCATAGATGCTCTGTAACTCCCGTTACAGGCAGGGTCTCACATGGTGAAAGGGCAGGACCAAGGAACTGCCTTGTTGAGTTCCTCCAGAAACTCTCCTAGAGCAGTCTGTCTCAGAGAGCAGGCAACACCAGGCATTTCAGGGAAAAGTGCAAGAAGTCAGTAATAAAAGTGTAGAATAATTCCTTCACATCTACACACAATGAGATCTTACACTAATTTGCAAAGAGCTGCTTTTTCTTTACCTCAGACACCAGGCTTTGTCCATACAAGAGACCATCCCAACACATAAATGGTTTATATCGTTCAATCATTACATTCTGTTCTTCACAAGGAAATGTATAAAATCTCACTCTAATGTGATGAGGGATTCCATTTTTTTCTCTAAAAATCACTCAAGCCTCAACTGAATACAGTCTCAATGCATCTAAATTCTGAGATTCTGAGTCCCAGCTGTATTTCTTTAAATGCAGTTTTTCTGCATCTACAATTGCATCCCTTTTTCTTTTTTTTTCTTTTTTTTTTTTTTTTTTTTCTTTTTTTTTCTTTTTTTTAATGCAGGAAACCTCAACTCTCTTCTAAAATCTACCACAAACTTTCACTGTATCTACAAGCAAAACACTTAATCTTTACATGCCTTCTTTTCATTATCTATGAAATAAGAATGGCAGTATTTGCTTCCTGGGAAGGTTACATTCTTCTGAGATCCTGAGATGGCAGGTACCAATTAATTCTAAGCAGTAATTATTTGTTAAAAGTCTCAAGACAAGACTTTAGAAAATCAGCAAATATATCTGTCAATCATCTTCCACAGGGCCATGTCAGGAAGCTCCATTAGGAGGTACCATTACCAGATTTTCAGTCTTGCCTGACTATCAGTGTTCAAGTTTGGCCTATCTCACCTGTGGTATTATTGACAGAGATGGCTTTACCCGCTTTCGCTTTCCTCAGGCAGTCAGAAAGGATATGATGACAAAATAAGAGCTACCACCAAGATAGCAGGGTAGTTATCTCTGAAAGCACACTGGGCCACGGTTTCAGAACAATCCCACAACACTATTTAGAAGTTGACTGGCTTCTTGTTAAGGACATAACAAATCAGTTTGTTCATTCTTGGGATGATAATGCCATTTCACTGAAGTACAACTGAGTTCCTTTTACATTTTCTGTGTGCAGGGAAAAAACCCATAACAATACTGTTGAGCCTTCTGAAATGAATACCTCTTGAAGCAATAAATCTGTTAAAGGAAAAAATGGTTTCTGGGCACCAGGGCTATGTGTTTAAGGATTTGAACTTTCTTAATGCCTAAAACCTGGAAAAAAAGTCCAGAAAGGACACCCAATTAGAAGGATATTGACTCATCCTGAAAAAGAGGGGGGGGAGGGAAAAAGGGAGGAAGGAGGGAAGAGATCAAGGCTTACAACAAAAGACCTATTCATTTATAACAGCTTAGCTGTGGAGCCATTCCAGCGTGCTTAAAAATACTTTATCCATTAGTTGGGAACTATTTTCTAAATGACAACTTGCTGCCCACATCTGACCACAACCAGCTCCCTTTTCACATTGAACCTAGCAAGGTTTACATTGTCAAAAGCAGCTTGCCACCTCTTCTGGACATTGTAGGGGGGTGAGGCAGAGTAAAGCAGAGGTGCTCTGTGCGAAACAAAAATCCCTGACCTCCAACATATAGAGAGGGGAAGTACAATGCCGCTTAGTTCCTCCCAGGCTATTTTAAGAAAAGAGGACAAACGAATACAACTTAACAATTTAACTACAGTTCTTCTCACACGAAAAACAGGAAGAGCATTTTAGGTTAATCACGTTATTAAAAATAAGATCATTTAATGCCTTCGTATATGAGGTCAACAATAGTCCTTTGCAACTTTATAAAAGGCTGCTTTATGTTAAGCTCTGATCACATACCTGAATAAAATCATCAAACATATATCACCAATGTTTCTATGTATTAGCCAGCAGGTAAACATTTTTAATTACAAACACTATGTACTTGTTGAACAGCAGGATTTTTTTAATCAAATGATTCTCTCCTAGGAACACTTCCTCCTCAGTTATAAAGTGGTATAGCTGGAACTATTAATATTTTATGCTAGGGACTGTGGATACAACTTCATATAAAAGCTTTTCTTTATTTGAAATGTGACTGTTGCTGTAAAGCTGGCATTTATACCTTTTCCCAGTATTTTGTTGCATATGCTTTCAGAGCTTAGTTGGAGGAAAATGAATGTCTAGTTTAATGTGTGTTTATTTCTCTTGACACATACATTGCATCCTTATGTTAGTTTGCATTGAGACTCTGGAGGAGATTCTGGGAGAATATTGTACAGTTGATCTTCTCATCAAAGTATCAGCTTTTCTAAACATGTCAGTCAACTATAGCAAAAAGTACTCTATATTGCAATATATGCTATCTGATTCACCTTCTTACAGGGATCATCTTTGTAACCTTTTCTCATGTGGATATTCTTAATAACACCAGCCCTATGTAAATGTAAAAAGACAACATCTGTATCTACAGCATCTGTTTAAAGTAAAAATGCAGTGAACAAATGCTTAAATTCTTAAAGTATTCAATAATTTATATTTGGGGTTTAGTTTTTAGATATAGAGCAGCAAGGTTTGTAAGAATTCTTTTCTTTCTTTTCTTAGTTTAGTTGATTATTTTCAAGCTAGGATGGGGAAACAATAAAGAAAATTGGCATTGGAAATAAATATTCATATGTGTCCAGTTGCTCATGAACATGGTTGCATTGTACAGAACTCGTTGAGTGTACAATAGCTGCCTTTTGAGCTTCCTGAGACATGATAGCTCTTAACCTAGGTTTGCAGGTACCGTGAAATGTTTATGAATAACACAATACAGATTCTAAAATATACCTCCTTTTATGAATACTGGCACATTGTAACCCAGCTCTGCAAGGCCTAAGAAAAATGGCAGGGCAATATCAGACATTTGTTTACATCTCACCTCCAACAAAATATAATTTTACTTTGGCTGACCTCTAAGTAGATGTAACAATTATGTAACAGAGTAAACCACAAGCCAAATAGAGAAAGAGAGACCACAGGTCACATAATCCAAAATGTACAAGAAACAAAATCTGGTTATGGTTTTGTCACGAGAAGTACTATCTATGTTTTATGTGCAGTGCTGGACTTATAAATGTTTCTAATTTAATGGGGAAATGTATCCAGATTTTAATAGCTCATTTCATTTTCTAGGCTACATCAAAGAGTGAGATGACCTCAGCGCAATACCAGGAATGAAAAGAATTCCTGAATTCAGAGCTCAGCCGCAGGGTAATTTCAGATGCCTTCCTGTCACTGCCTGGCTCCTGTCTTCTGACAAGTGGGGTGGTTGGTTTTTTTTTTTATTTAAGAGCAACATTTACCTACTGCATAGGAACACTCTGAAGATTAATTCATTTGCATGCCATGTGACATATGAAATGTGCTGGGAAACATTTCTCCGCCGTGGAAGTGCAAAAGGCATTTACAGTTCTGCTAGCACGCTGTCTGGGAGAAAGCGCCTGGTTGTCTCTGGTGACTTTAAGCTCCTTGCTCTCTTACTCCTCAGAGAACACATCAGGGCGGAAAGGAAGGGGTGTCAGGGACTGGCTCCTCTTTACAGTCCACAATGGAAAATGCTCTGTGGCCCTCAGCCCAGGCTGGTGCAGATTGCTTCCATGTCCTTACAGCAGGTCAGGTGTTGAGCCTTGCATAAACTTATCTCATTCATGCCTGGACTTCTCTGCCAAAACTGCTTTTAGCTGAGGTTGGAGCTTAATGTATATGCAGAGTTGCTAATCAGAGAAATTTGATCCTAAAGCAAAACAGAGGATGATCAGCTTGGTTACATAGATGTAGCCCATACATCATGTTCCACTTGATTATCTAATTATAATCTGTGGGACTAGTGCACTCCCTTAAAACAAAGGCTTAGAAATACCTGCCTCCTCAAACATGAGCAATTATAAGCAAGATCTTAGCACAACAAAAGCTAATTATCAGTAGCATTATAATATTCTTACAGTGAACAACTCCAAACCAAAATGTCATTATTCTTTGTGTGTACAGTAGCAATGTCCTGTGCTCCATCCATAGCATGAAAATTGAGGTACATTTGCATATCTTATTAACTTAAATAAACTTGTCCGCAAAAAAAAAACATACTAAATACAACATGAAGCAGAATTAAGAAGTTGTTAATTCTGTTTATAGAGATATATAAGAAAAGGAGTATTTGTCTAAGGACATATAAAAAATAAGCAGAGAGCATAATAGAACATTCCTCTCTTTATCCAGGTAAGACCAAATTCAAAGTAGCTCATTATATTGTCTCTGACATCAGCCAGAAGCAGATGCCTATGCAAGAACAATTATATTTCATGAGTCTACTCTTCCAGGCCACACATATTTGCAGTTCAGAACTAGCTGAATTAAATACTTCATACTCAATAGATTTTTTGAGTAGTTCATGGATTTTTCTTCCAATTCATTTTAAAACCTCTATTATCTTTTAAAACCATAAATGTCCTGTAGTAACTTAATTACATGGAGAGGTTTTTTTTTGTTGCTTTGAACTTTCTATATTCTAATTTCATCTGATAGCTACTTTTTTTCTCTAAAAGAGACAGTGCATAGTCATTCCTTCTTTAACTCCTCCATAAACTTGATGATTTTATAAGCTGCTGTTACACCCTTCTTCACTTGTCTTTTTTTCCTAGCCTGAAGAGTCTTAAGATGTTTAATTAAAAATTATATTGAAACTGTTTCATACTTTTGATCATCTTTGTTCCCTTCTCTATATCTTTCTGACTTAGGGATGGAGGGGAGAAAAGTGAACCAGAAGTATATACAGTGTTCAAGATGAGGACACGCTGTGGAGTTACAGAGAGGCCTAATGATATTTTTTGTTTCGAGCTGACATTTTCATAGAACTGTTTCTCTGCAGTTATCCACTATTTATAACTTCAAGATCTCATTCCTGAGTGTCAGGCTGTGTATGTTAAGTTAGGATTTATATATAAATAAATCTGAGGTTATTTTTCCCTGTGGACATCACTTAACTTTTATTTACATTTCATTTCACTTGTCTTTTTATTACCAAGTATTATGTTCTACAACACTTCTCAGTTGGTCCTCATCCTTTTTGTCCTGAATAACTTTGTAATACCAGCAAACTTTATTGTCTCACTTTTCACCCACCTTTCAACCTCATTTTCTTCTATATTGAAGAGCACAGGTCTAGTAGCTGCTTTTGTAGGTTGCTGCTAGTACCCTCCCTCAACTGAGAAAATTGACTATATAAACTCTACATTTTGAGCAATTATTCATCTATTCAGAGACCTTCCCTCTTAATCAATGGCAGCATAGTGTGTTTTACAGGAACATTGTAAAAAGGACAAGAAACATTGTAAAAAGTCTTGGAATTGCAAGACAACTTTGGCAGTTGAATTACTCTTGCCTATGTGATTGCTGACTCCTCCGGTGAACTGTACTCAAGGTTTTAGATGTGATTGCTTTACAAAAGCCACACTGTTTCTCCTCACACAGTATATCATATTTATTCCCATGTCTACTAATTCTGAAATTTTTTAAAAAAGTCAGCATCATATCTGCATCTTCCATTCTTCATGTGTCAAGGCAGTTTAAAACAAAAGTTTACATGCTGTAGTAAATAATACTTAAATTGTGCTAAAGCTCTTGATTTGATACATGCTAAATTATCTTTTAATCTTAATTTTGTAACTTCTTTCCATTAAATATTTTGTGAAACAGATACGTTGATGTCAGAATCTGTTTTTCAAGGGCTTCAGGCATAGCACCCAAGTTTCCCCACAGTTAATACAGATACATAAAAAATGTTTGTAGTTTCAGCTTTATCTTCCCTAAATCTTTTTTGCATACCTACCTTGATTATCAAATGTCTCTACAAACTCGTTTCCTTCTTGTAAGCTTCTTTTTCTTCCTATGCTTGAAAAAAAATTATTTCTCTTTTTATATCTTTTACAAGTTTTTTCTTAATTCATATTAAGGCTGTCCTTTCCAGTTTCTTCTTTAAGAAGTTTCCTCATTCTGTTCTAGTTCCTTTTTTCAAAGTTAATGAGATTTTTGGCTTTGATTTTCTAGCAACTACTTTGAAATTAAGTACATTATGGCCACTCTGTCATTCTAAGCTTCCTGTGTTGATTGGAAACCAAGATTAAAAAATTAAAACCTGCTATAGCTCTACTTGCAATAACATTTACATTAACATCTTTTATTTTAATGTAGAGGAAATGAAATGAACTCTTGATATACCTAGAAAAGGGCATGCTCATAGTAAAAAGATGGTGGTAGACCATGGTACAAGGCTATTAGGATACAATCCTGGAATTTAAAATTGTTCTTGATCATCCCAAAGATAGTGAATGACAGTAGCCAAAAACCAGCACAATCCAGTGCAACTGGCCTTCTCATCAGCTCCAGACAGTGGCGGCTGGACAATGTCCTATGCATATTGCTGAGGACTATTGTCAGCACCAGTTTGCAGTTCTCTGGCCCAGGCAGAACAGACGATTGCTCCCACAGCAACCACGGGGATATTACCTCACACGACAACACATTCACCATTTTCCCAGAGCTTCACTTCTTTTTGACACCTTCCTCTGATGTGTACTGTGTTGCCACCATATGCTCAGGCAGTCAGGTCATTGTGGTGGTGAGGAGCAGTGATGAGCAGAGCCCCTGTATGGAGCTGCTTGCTGAAATGATGGGCTGTACATGGTGCAGAAAACATGGCTATTAAAAAGAAATAAAAGGCAGCATGTTAGGGCCACAATCATTGTACTGGGCCTTCCATAAGTACCTGATGGCAGCCAACCTGCAGTCCAAATGTCAGCACGACCCTTCAACCTAGAACAGGCTGTATGTGGCCTCTGACCCCCACAGATGGGACTGTGACTGATCCCCACAGATTTGACTATTTGCAAAATCCCAAAATATTAAGCTAAATACAACAGGCAACAACTGAATAGAAAGAGAAAATTGGGATAACACTGTCAGAAGTGACATTAAATGGGACAGAGATGGTGATCAATTTTTGTACAGAATAGTTAAAGAAAAGTAAGGGATTCTAATGGTCAGTACCTGACAGGGTGGTAAATATTATTTACCTAATAGGTAAGACAGAATTTGAACACAGAAGTTTGGATATTGTGATAGCATTCAATGCTCACTGCTACAGAGTGACTCTGTATTTAGGAGGGATGCCAAAGAGCAGTTCAGAATTTTAGTCAGTCATGGAGTGTGTTTAACATTTGGCTTGCAATTTGAAGGATCCCAGCCAGACCTGCAGCAGTAGGCTCTCCATGACTTACCCTTGTGGCTGTTACCTGCAGAATTTGTGGTCTCAATCAGCTGTTAATGCTTCTCTTGTAAGATTATAAAATAATTGCAGATAGCTCAGATTAGGACTTGTGAATGTCACTTAAAGCTCATTTCTGTTGCATATGCTACCCGGTATTCTCTGTAGGCAGCAGATGAGGGTCTACGGAAAAACAGGAGCCTAGAAACAAACAATAATAACAAGCACTAATCAGAGTGTAATAATCTTCTGAGTTGCACTTATGTTAAAAGGTAATCACTGATATTCACATAGCACTGAGTAAGTAGCATTTCATATGGACTTCATAGTTACAGAAAGAAAATAAAGAATTTGATTTCCTAAAGAGCATCAGGAACAAAATAATCAAAAACCACAGCTTTAACGTTTTAGCACTGACTTTTAGGGGAGCTGTGTTTTCTCTGTTATGGCATAAGATCCTGTGCAAGTTTAAGCAAATTTTGCATCAGTTCTGTACTAATGCTGTGCTTGAACACTTTTTTCAGTTGTGATATTTTAGCAGATGTGTGTCCACTAGGTCAACAGTACAGAGACAAGTTTGTCTGGACATATTTGAAAAGAGGTGCCCAGGTAACTTAGCTGGTAGAAACTTATATTAAAAAGAGTGTTAGCACCACCCTGATTAGATGGCAGATGAGGGAATGGTTTCGTGACAATGGGTCTCAAGAGACACCACCAATGCAAAGAGTTGCCATCCCTGTGTCCACTGTTCCAGTGGCAGTTGGGACAGGCAGGACTTGCCGTACATAGGAGAGCTGCTATTGGCACAGCCTCCATAAGTGATAATGTGAGCTGAGAGGGCTTTCAACATCGAGATGCAGTTAGACACTTAGATCTGTGGATCTAAGCATATAGTCCTCCCATGCCTCACTTTTCATGTTTTTAAAATACAGTAGTAATATATATGACACCAGTGTGTGCAAACATTCATTTCCAGTGTATATGTGGCACTTGAAGAAAGGGCATTATGGACTAAGAATTACTTTTTAATTTATCAAAAGCAAGAAAGATGGGATTTTTCTAAGCACTTTTAAGATTTTTTCACAAAATTGAGATGCCTGAATGAAATAAGAAATAGCAGAAAACTCAACACTAATTCCAAATACAGATGAAAAGTAGTTTACACAACATAACTAACACAAAAAGCAAATAAGATTTCAGGCCTCTGCTTTATGCCATTTTGTTTGCATATACACTAAAAGAATATACACACATTATACACATGCATGGGCATAGTGCATGTGTCCTAGCTACTTGAAAGCTTTTTATCTGCTTGAAAAACAAAGTGTATCTGCAATATGATACTGAATGCATACATTTTGTACAGGTTTATTTCTTGGTTTGATTAAGATTTTAAAAAAATATGCTTTGGGGTAAAATACAGCAATTATGAATGCCTGAAAGGAAAAAAAATAACCAGAAGATTATTCATATATTTATCATATTCCATCACATAATCTTTGCATTCATAAATATGGTAATCAGCAACTGTGGACTTTAAAATCAATGATATAGTAGCAGTTGAAAAATAGTATGGTAGTTTTTCATAATAATAACCTTAGTGATATAAGATTCTTTATATACACAAATATGATCTTTAAAATGGCCTCTATCAGCTTAAGAAATGGACAATATCATGAAACTTGTTAAAGCCAAGGTGAACTGTGGCACCATATCCAAATGCAGAAAAAGACAATCACATTTTTCGACACTTCTACAGCTGATGGCATTGAAATGTCAGCAAAGCTCAAAGCAAAAGTACACAATAAATTTGATATTATACCACATGTTTGATTAAGCCCAAGGGTGAAATTGTAACCTGCAATTTTATTCTGAGTCAGTAGATTTCTGACACATTTTGATTTTTAACAAAGGGAAACTTGGTCTTAAGGCTTCACAGAATTCAGCAGGACTGTCATTGTTTTATTCAAACTCTCCTAGAAATTGGTCTTTACAAGCCCAGTGGATACAAGTACGTTAATAAATTTTATTATTGTAAAAACTGTTCTCAAGGAATTGTTTCAAATAACAAGGCTATGACTATACTCAAAACAGAGACTCTTAGTTAATGGCGAGTATGTGGTGAAAGAGCAACAGTATTTTCTGATGAGAATTGTACTATTTTTTACTTCAGATTTTTAATAGATTAAAGCCAGTTTTATACACGTACCTGAAGTTGTTCACATTTAAAATACAAGAGTGTTGTCTATGAAAACCTCAAGGAATTTCTGACCATACTTGGTTATTTTTAAAAATCTATTTATATTCATTATAAAGTATAGGATAATTACAATAATAGTTAAAAAAACTAACTCTGCTTCACAATGAAGACACGGGGAAACCGCATCAGTTATTGTGACAGGTCTGCGAAGAAGAAACGCTTGACTACAGATGAAAGAAATACAAATGGTGAAATCCGCTCTGGTTTATGACCAAGGAGCATGGTAATTTACTGACATATATTCAAACACTTTTTAAGAAATAGCCTATTCAAAAGCTATGCATTGTTTTTGTTGTTTCTTAATTTTTATCACGCTGCTGGATGTCTCAGAAGTGATGCTGTCAAAGCGGCAGTCAAGGACCGAAGTAATTGGAACTGCTGGGTGAAAAGACAAGCTCCGTACAGGAATTTCCTGCCACTCCGGTGACTGTGACAGAAA